GGGGGACAACGAGGAGGAGGCCTTCTCAGAAGGCTCGGGAGTCCCCCGGCCTTCTGCGAAGTTGTCTGAGCCTTCCCCGAGGAGACACAGAAGACTTCTGAGAGCGCGCGAGGGCTTCTGAGAGGTCCCGCCGCCTTCTGAGAGGGCCCTCTCCTTCTCACTTCCCCCCCTCGCTCGCCGCCGAGATATGGTATGGTATGGGCGTGCTCAACAGGCGTCAAAAAACGGCATCAGCCGAACCAACAAAGCACTCGGCCTCGGACTCCTGATCGGCATCACTGTTCGAGCCACGCAGGGCACTGCGGCCGAGCTCGCGCACAGCACCGAGCCCTCCCTCCTCCGGGGCTCTCAACTTCGCGCCGCCTCCTCCCAGGTGCTCCCGACTTCGCGCGAAAGGCGACCAACTGAGCGCCGCCTCCCAGGGGAGAAAAGAGGAAGATGAGGAGGAATCGGAGCCGAAGCGCGAGGCGCGAACAACTTCGCGCCCTCGAGGGCGCCCTTGCTCCTCCGGCCCGCACGCCCGCAGCACCCCCGCCCGCCTCCCCCCACGTCCCGTCCTTCCACAGGCACCAGGCAGGCGACGAGGGCCCGTGGAAGCTCCCGAGGCGGCCCAAGAGAGAGAGAGAGGGGAGCACACGATACCGCCGTGAACCCGGGACGGGGACTCGATGCAGTCCACGGAGCTTGGGCGTGGCTTAGTGGGGGGGTCACAAATGGGGGGGTCAGAAAAGGTCCCCTTTCGTGCCCCTTTCGGGCCCCTCCAGAGCCCCAGGGGGCTCGTTTAGGTACCGTTTGGGTACCTTTTCGGACCACGCTCGCCCCCCCATTTATGACCCCCCCATTACGCAGCGCCCAACCGGAGCGTCGTCTCTACGGTGCCCGGGTGCAATCATTTGGGATGGCCCTCCGTGGGACTTCATAGCTTCCGTTGCGCTGCCGCGCACAAGGACCCGAATGGCTCCCGAAGATAGCCCCCAATGCAGGCCAAGAGGCCCCTTATGTATCTCAAGAGGACCAACGGACCCAACCTCCTCAACACAGAGAATGTCCCAAGCGGGCTCCACAACGACCCAGAAGCATTGCAACACCTCGTCCTCCGCCCCTTCGCCTTCGTCGTCGTCTTCCTCTTTCTCCCCCAGAGGTGTTCCCTGCAATTGCGAAGTTGATGTGGCCGATGACATAACCAATGTGCAAACTCCGCCATACAATATATCAGAAGTTATTGACCGCGTCGTTTTCCTGGTGGCAACCAAGAACACGAACGTCATCGTCTGCGTAATCGTCGCCGTCAGCATTATCCAATATGCCTCGAAGACGGCCCAATATTGCCCCACAGCGGCAGAATATAGCCTCAAGACGGCCCAAGATGCCTCCAAGAGGGCCCAAATGGGCCACAAGCGAACCTCCAACAAGGTCCGAAGAAACCAAGATCAATGATTGCCTTCGGTTTGGTAAACGATTGTCGTATTATCGCCTGTTCGGGCTTCCATCTGCTGAACACGAGCAAAGAAACCTCAACGATGGCCCTGAGACGGCCCAAGCGGCCCCCAAGAGGATTAGATGATGGCCAAGAGGACCTCACGATGGCCCAAGAAGCATCCAAGACTAGCCCCAAACGGACCCACCATACGGCCAAGAGGGCACCAAGACGACCTTCGAGAGCCCCTGAGACGGCGTAAGAGGACCCCACGACGGGCCAAGATGACCCCAAAGGACTCCCAAGACTGCCTCCCAGGAGGTCGAGCCAGCGCCAAGACGGCCCAAACGACGTTCATGAACGTTCGCCACATAGTGAAGACGAAAAGTGTCACATGTGACGGCCTTCCTCTTCCTCCTCCTCCTCCTCCTGCTCCTCCTCCTCCTCCTCTGCCGCCTCCTCGTCATCATCCCCGTCGTCCTCATCATCCCAATCGCGGCTCTCCCAAGCCTGGAGACATGAAGTGTGACACATGAACGACGGCGCCCCGTGCCCCCTCGAACAATCGCCACTCATAATGCCAGGCTGGCACGGTGGAGGGACTTGCCGCAAGCAGCTGGGTAATCTGCAGCAGAAACAAAGACCTCCCACTCACTCATCGTGATGATCCTCCTCCTCCTCGTCCTCGTCCTCAGCCTCCTCCTTCTCCTCGTCATCATTATCATCGTCACCACTACTTCGCTATCGCCTTTGACGTGAGCGTCGACTACGACTGCGGGTGCTAGTTCAGCCCATGCCATGGGGATCCTAGCAAGTCCCAGTAAAACCGGCTGCACGAATACTCCGGGGCACGCCGACTTCCCTGCGTGGCGGGACCTGACCCTGAGTGTAGGACGCATGGACCTCACAGACACGCATACGCGTGAGCCCGCCCCCCATCCTGGATCCAGGCGTGGTGCCGCGCAGCGGCGCGGGCCAGTCCCCGACTGCCCCTGGTGGACGGCGCTGTGACCAATCTCTGCCGCGCTGCGTCGAGGCCGTGGCCACGAGGCCACCCCCCGAGAGCCCAACAAGAACAGCTTCCAGCGCGCCTATCTTGGATCCAGGCGTGGTGCCGCGCAGCGGCGCGGGCCTGTCCCCGATGGCCCCTGGTGGACGGCGCTGTGACCAATCTCTGCCGCGCTGCGTCCAAGCTGTGGCCACGAGGCCAACCCCTGACTTGAGCAGGGACCGACCGTCCCGGCATTCTTTCAGTCCTACCACGAAATATTCTTAGAACCCAAAAACGTTCGAATAACAAAAACAGTGTTCTCAGAACATATACCCGATGCGATAAAACAAGACAGTCTCAACCAGAAATGTTAGAAGAACATGTCGTGGAAACCGCAAAAGGCTCTTAGAACACTGTTTGGTAGGGCTATAGGCGAGCCAGGACGCTTCGCCACTGCTTGACTGAGAGCCCAACAAGAGCAACTTCCAGCGCGCCCCGCCGTCGCCGTCTGCACCTCCGCCGGCCCTCCACCGCTGGAGCCGCCACCGCTCCACAGTCGGCCCTGATCGGACAGGACACGCGCGAGGACACGAGACCCTTCCGCGGGCCACATCGCCATGGGAGCGTGAGAAGGCACGTGCCGCGAGGCACAGGACACAAGGGTACCCTTGAGCTGGCGGGGTCGACCTGCTCATCCGGGCCGACTGCACTTCCTCGCTGCGCTCACCCGCTGCTCCCTCCGGCCGCTGCAGCTTACGTGGTGGGCCAACGCGAGACTGAGACTGCGGAAGCGGTCGTCTCGGCGCAGTGCGGCGTCCTGCCAGATCGGGGCCCCGGGAGGGGCAAGTGGACGGGCGGTGCGACTCGCGGGCACTTCGGCCGCCGAGATCTCCCACAGAACTCCGCCCTCAGGAGGAGGAGGAGGAGGAGGAGGAGGTGGAGGAGGAGGAGGAGGAGGAGGAGGAGGAGGAGGGCACCCCCACCTCTGCGAGGGTGGCACGGTGAGGGAGGCCAACGGAGTTCCCTCTGGGCCCTGGGGGCCCCTCAGCACACTGCAAGACGGGCTGGCACGCTGCCCCGTAACTCAGCTCGAGCGGAGACGGGGAGGAGGAGGAGGAGGAGGAGGAGGAGGAGGAGGAGGAGGAGGAGGAGGAGGAGGAGCAGCAGCAGGAGGAGAGGAGGAAAAGGAGGAGGAAGAGGAGGACCTTTCTGACCTGTTGACCAAGCACAGGAGGTGGTGCGAAAAGGGGAGAGGAACGAGGGGGGAAAGGAGGGGGAGGGACGACGAAAGACGACCCCCAACGTAAGTGCCTCAACGCAGGCAGGACCAACGCTGAGACACCGCCGCGACCACAGCAGCCAGTCCACCCCCCCTGGCGGGGTCAGGAACAGCTGCCATGTCAGACGGATCGCATCCAGAGGAGGAGGAGGAGGAGGAGGAGGAGGAGGAGGAGGAAAGCGGGGAAGGGTTCAGCTACTTCTGGGTCCTCGATGCCTGCCCGGGGCGGACAGTTCGCGGCAGCTACTGGAGCCACACCATTCTATGTGAGGGGCAGCGATAGGGGGACTGGCGTAGGAAAACATCGACTTGGAATCGGCGATACATCGCCGATAGATCAGCGTTAGGCCCCCGATCGTGAATGGGGCAATTTGGCCCGATGGGGCAATGGGGGTCGATGCATCCCCCCCTATGCCTAACTCCCCCAGTCGTTGCGCCTGAGCATGCCTTCTAGATTGGGCGTCGCTTAAGGGAGGGGCCATAAATGAGGGGGGAGCACTGTGCTCTCCTCGGGCCCGAAAGGCCTCTCTTGGGCCCTGCACGGGCCCAACAGGGCCCCTTTTCAGCAGCCTCCGCTGCCCCCCACCAACTATGGCCCCCCAGTGCGCGACACCCCACTCGAGCCTTGTCGGGCAGCCCCGTGCAAACTCTTGGGGAACGAAGAGTGACATACGCGAAAAAACTCCGAGGTCCGCGCGGATTTCTCGGATCGGCGCTGGACACCCCTCCCTGGCGCGCTCCGCGCGCCAGGGGGCGGCGCCGGAGGCGCCGCCAAAGGGGTCCAGCGCGGATCCGGGAAATCCGCGCGGGCCTCGGAGTTTTTGCGTTCATGTCATTCCTCGTTCCCCTAAACCCCACGGCCGTCTTCGGCACGCCCGTCCGCATCGAGGCGCTGCCAGCTCGCCTCGAGGGCGAGAAGCCCCGTCTTGGAACACCCCTCCGCGCCGGGCCCACTGCGATCCGTCCACGGCTCGGGCCGCGCCCCGAGCCGTGGCGACGATGTCTTCGTCGCCGTCGCCAACGTCGTCGTCCCCAACGTCGTCGTCGCCGTTGCCGTCGTCGACTTCGTCGTCGCCGTCGTCGTCAATGTCGTCGTCCTCGTTGTCGCCAACGTCCTCAGCGTCGTCGTCGCTAGCGCGTCGTCGTCGTCTGCGCCATTGCTGTCGCCATCGCGTCGTCCTTGGGGTCGCCAACGTCGTAAACGTCGTCGTCGCCAATGTCGTCGTCGTCGTCGCCAACGTCGTCGTCGTCGTCGTCGTCGTCGTCGTCGTCCGCATCGTCGTCGCTGCCCGGTGGCGGGGCGGAGGCCCCACCGAGAGTAGCCGCTCTCCCGGGGCCACGGTGACGATGTCGCCGTCCCGGAGCAGCGCGATGGGCCCCCCGTCGCAGGCCTGCGGACGTCATCGCCCTCGTCCTCGTCGTCCTGGTGCTTCCTGCTGGATCCTGTGCGGGTCCTGTGGGATCCATCCTCCTCGTCCCGCTCGTCGTCCTCGTCGTCGTCGCCGTCCTCGTCGTCGCCCTCGTCGTCATCATCGTCGACTTCGTCGTCGTCGTGGTCGCCTTCGTCCTCCTTCGCCGCTACGGGACCTCTCGGCCGAGAGCGGTATACAACTGCCGCAGCGACGACCTGCCCGCGTGGGTCCTGGCGTGGTTCACCCGTTGTCGCGCATGTCGGCTTCAGCGCTTCGGCCTCTACACTTCTTTTGCGCATTCTTCGACCTCATCTTTCTCCTCTTTCTCCTCCTCCTCCTCCTCCTCCTCCTGCTGTTCAGTCGGAGGTCTGAGAAGGGAGGGGGGGAGAAAGAAAGGGAAAATACGGGGGAAGCAAGGATGAAGGAAGAAGGACGGACATGGAAGGTGAGGAGAAATTGCACCAAAAAAACACCCCAATCAGTGGATGGTTTCGCTGAAGAGATCGACCGGGAACCCGGGAGCCCGGGAACCCAAACCCACCGAAATCGGCCTGGAACCAATAACCGGGAACCCGGGAACACGGAACCGGGAACCCGGGAACCCAGCCTGCTACCAAAATCGGCGGGAAACTTTCGCCAAATCTTTCAACTTCCGCCAAGCACCCCTTCAGTGCAAGCACTGACTGGGGAGAAGAGGCGAGGGAAGGGGTGGGGGAGGAGATAGCTCGGGATGGGGGAAAGGACGAGGAGAAGGGGACGCACCGAAACACGTGATGGACTTCATTTCGCTGGCATGCTGATGCACTGTTCACTGGGTCGCACCAATCGCGCTTTCAACCAAACACCCACCCACACAGTGGATGTCATCCGCCACCGTGCCCTCGATGCCGAGCTGGAGTGTCCGCAAGTCCTTGGGCCTAATTCCTTAAGCGCGTCCCCAATCCTGAAGATTTGTTTTGAAGGGGCCCAGACCCCCACAGCTCTCAAATCTATCGGGGGCTCCCAGTCTGCCCCATTGGCCCTGTCGCGGCTTGTGACATGACCATTTCTCAACCATCCTGCGGTGTTGGCTCCTCGTTTTGAAAAGGCATCGCCCACCGTTTTGCCTCATCTCGCTGCCCCGTCCTCCCTCCGCCATCGTTATCATCAGCAGCATCATCACCACCATCATCGTCATCATCAGCAACATGAGCATCACCATCGGCATCAACATCATTATCATCATCAGCATCTCCACCACCGCCACCAGCATCAGCAGCAGCACCAGCATCAGCAGCAGCAGCAACATCATCATCACCACCACCATCACCGTCCCCATCACCATTACCATCACCATCACCAGCATAATCATCATCATCGTCATCATCATCAGCATCATCATCATCATCTGCATCATCATCATCAGCGTCAGCATTATCATCATGATCAGCATCATTATATTCATCATCACCAACATCATCATCATCCTAATCATTATCATAGACGTCGTCGTCGTCAGCAGCAGCATCGGCATCGGCAAGGGCATCATCCTCCTCATCACCATCATCATCACCATCAGGATTAGCATCAGCATCAGCATCATCAGCATCGCCAACATCAACATCATCATGATCATCTTCATCACCACCATCATCAGCATCGTCATCATCATCAGCATCAGCATCATCATGATCATAGTCAACATCACCATCATCATCATCATCACCATCAACATCGTCATCATCAACAACATCATCATCACCAGCATCATCATCAGCATGGTCATCAACAGCATCATCACCACCATCATCATTGTCATCATCAGCATCAGTATCATCATGGTCATCATCATCAGCATCATTAGCATGGTCATAATCATCATCACCACCATCATCAACAACAGCATCACCACCATAATGATCTGCATCATCACCACCACCATCATCAGCATCGTCATCATCATCATCATCATCGTCGTCATCATCATCATCATCATCGTCATCTTCGTCATCGTCATCATCAGCACCATCATCATCATCAGCATCATCATGGTCGTCATCGTCATCGTCATCAGCATCATCGTCATCAGCATCATCGTCATCAGCATCAGCATCAGCATCAGCATCAGCATCAGCATCAGCATCAGCATCATCATCATCATCATCATCATCATCATCATCATCATCATCATCATTAGCATCATCATCAACATCATCATCATCATCATCATCATCATCATCACCATCATCATCAACATCAGCAACAACATCATTGCACACGTCGGCACACCCTTCACGCGCTACGTGGCCGCATAGGGAGATCCACCTAGTGCCTCCGTGGCGCAGTTCGCATGCGTTTCTCACCCATTGCGGTACACCTCTCACAAGCGTCGCGGCCTCATAGGGAGATCCACCGACTGCCCCCGTGGCGCAGTTCGCGTGTGGGCATCACGCCCCTTTCAGAAGACCCCCTCACACGTTTCGTGGCCACCTGGGGAGCTCAGCCGAGTGCCTGCGTGGCGGAGGTCGCACGTGGGCCTCACGCCCGCTTCATGGCACCGCAGGGGGCTCCACCGAGTGTCTCCGTGGCGCAGTTCGCATGTGGGCGTCACGCCCGTTTCGGCACAGCCCCTCGCATTTTTTCTGGCCACGTAGGGGGCTCCGCCGAATGCATTGCATGTGGGCGTCACGCCCGATTCGGCACACCCCTCACACGCTTCGTGGCCCCGTAGGGAGCTCTATCTAAGGCCCCCCGTGGCGCAGGCCCGTTTCGGCACAGCCCCCACGCGTTTCGTCGCCAGATAGGGGGCTCCGCCGAGCGACCCAGTGGCACAATTCGCATGTAGGCGTCACGCCCGTTTCGGCACACCCCTCATACGCTTCGTGACTTCATAGGGAGCTGCTCCGCAGAATGCCTCCGTGCCACATTCGTATGGGGGCGTCACGCCCGTTTCGACACACCCCTCACACGCTTCGTGACTTCATAGGGAGCTGCTCCGCCGAATGCCTCCGTGGCACATTCGCATGTGGGCGTCACGCCCGTTTCGGCACACCCCTCACACGCTTCGTGACTTCTTAGGGAGCTGCTCCGCCGAATGCCTCCGTGCCACATTCGTATGGGGGCATCACGCCCGTTTCGGCACACCCCTCACACGCTCCGTGGCCCCATCGGGAGCTCCACCCAGCGCCTCCGGGGCGCAATCCGCACGTGGGCGCCACGCCCGTGTTGACACATCGCTCGTACGATCCGTGACCCCATGGGGGCTCAACGAAGTGCCTCCGTGGCGCAGTTCGCATGCGGTGCCCCACCACTGCGGGCACACCCCTCACACGTTTCGTGACCCCATAGGGAGCTCCACCGGAAGCAATGGCCACAACGCGATCCGCACAACTCACATGGTCGGGTTCTTCGTCGGGGTACTTTTCGGGTCCAAGAGGGTCCCACTAGGATTCCAAGGCGGTCCAAGAGGGAGCCGAGTCGCCGAACAATCGGTCCAAGACGCCCATGGCCGAGTCCAGTCGGCCGGAAAAAGGGCCCAAGACGTCCCAAGAGGTCTCCGAGAGCCTTCTCAAGAGGGCTGGTGTTTCAATGTGTGTTCGGGTACTCCACGTTTGGAGCTTCCGGCGCTCCATAACGTCCAAGGAGGCCCCCCACACCGCCCCAAGACCGCCCCAGAGGCCCTCGAGAGGGCCCCAAGACGGCCTAGGAGGGTCCCACGACTGCCCAAGAGGCGCCCAAGACGTCCCCCCCAAGAAGGGGACCACGAACCGACAATCTTGGCATTCTGCCCCAAGAGGCGCCCAGCAGGACCCAGGAGTCCCTTCAGAGGCCCCAAGAGGCGAGAGGCCCCAAAGCAGCCCCCCAGAGGCCTCAGAACTGCCTCCAGGATGCCCCTGAGAGGTCTCGACGAGATCCAGACGAACATCCAAAAAAGCCTCAGACCCACAACCCAGGCACGGTGGCAGGAGGATAGGCGGAAGGCAATTAGATAATAGTTGGTTCCGTCGTACTTCACAAGCGCTTGACAATAAGTTATGGCAGTTTGCCTGCTCGAATTACCTTCGCCAACTGATCTAACAGCATTGCGACCACTGCCTCCGCTGGACCGCGGACACCCTCCTCTCTCCCCCATCCCCAACCTCCACCCATCCCCGCCTCCCCTCCTCGACCTCCCCTACTCCCCCGCCCCCGCCCGGAGGCCTACCCGATGGGGCAAGAGAACAACTTGGGGCCGGAGGATCGCGCCGCATCGCCGATGCACCACCGAAGCACTAGCGACGCCGGGATGGACGGTTTCCCCCGGGGTCGTAGGCGATCCGAGGAGGGGAAAGCGAGGAGGAGGAGGAAGAGGAAGAGGAGGAGGAGGAGGAGGAGGAGGAGGAGGAGGAGGAGGAGGAGGAGGAGGAGGGGGAGGAGGAGGAGGAAGAGGAGGAGGAGGAGGAGGAGGAGGAGGGAGAGGGGGACAAGCTAGGTGCGCTCGCGTCATGTCTGACATCCTACCCCTCCCTCCCATCCCTTACCATGGCGCAGATCCCCTCTCTACTCGCACAGTCGGATGTCAAGCAGGGCGATGATCCCGAAACATGCATTGTAGAGCACGGCGTGGCATGGCGTAGAAGAGCACCGCGAAGCGCAGTATCAACCTAGCATTGTATTACATGCCGTGGCATGGAACGGGAAATGACGCCAGCGCTGCAGCGGGAACACGAGTCGAAACGAGCGGAAGCGCGGAAATGAGGCCAACGCTGCAGCGGGAACACGATTCGGAACTAGCGGAAGCACGGAAATGAGGCCAGCGCTGCAGCGAGAGCACGATTCGGAACGAGCGGGGCCCGAAAATGAGGCCGGCGCCTGAGCGAGAGCAGCATTTTGGGAACAATTGCAAGCGAAAGCCGAACTCCGGGGAAGGCTTCCTGGGCGCCAGAAGCAGAAATTCAGCGCTTTCACATGGAACAATTGTATTGGAATGGCCTTTTTTCGGCGCCGCCTCGGAACTCGATTTTCCGGCGCCGGCCGGAACCGGCTCCGGACCCGGCCCGAGCGCCAGCCCGGGCGCCGGCTCGGGCGTGCAGCCTGGGCGCCGGCGGAAATGATGCCAGCGCTGCAGCGGGAGCACGATTCGGAGCGAGCGGGGCCCGAAAATGAGGCCGGCGCCTCAGCGAGAGCAGCATTTTGGGAAAAAATGCACGCGAAAACCCAACTCCGGGGAAACCTGTGTGTAAAAAACAATACGCGGGGGGGGGGCGAATATTCCCAAGACGTCATCAGGGGAAGAGGGAGAGTCGTATTCAGATTGAGTAAATTGTGGAGGAGGAGGAGGAGATGAGGAGGAGGAGGAGGAGCAGGAGGAGGAGGAGGAGGAGGAGGGAGGAGGAGGAGGAGGAGGAGGAGAGAGAGGAGGAGGAGGAGGAGGGAGGAGGGACGAGGAGGAGGGAGGAGGAGGAGGAGGAGGAGGAGAGGAGGAGGAAGGAGGGAGGAGGAGGAGGAGGAGGAGGAGGAGGAGGAGGAGGAGGAGGAGGAGTGAGGAGGAGGAGAGAGCAGGAGGAGGAGGAGGAGAGAGCAGGAGGAGGAGGAGGAGAGAGCAGGAGGAGGACGTGTCGCCCAAGCCCGTCGGAGAGACCCTCCACGCCGGGACGGAGCACGTTAGACCTCCTACCGCGCCGCGGCGTCGATGCACCGGCGAGGCGGCGCGAACCCCCGAACCACGGCGCGCCTCGGGCGTGACGTGCCCGACCATGATGCCGTGGGACGCGCCGCTGAAGCGCCCGTCCGTGACCAGAGGGACGTGCTTGCCCAGGCCTCGGCTCGCAGGCACCCACCGGGGATCTTCCGACCCGGGTCAAGGCAGGCCCGGGTCAGCAGGGAACCAACAACCTGCAATGCAGGAGAGAAAACTGCAACGCAGGTCTTCCCAAATCCAGGTCGGCCAACCTGCGCGGCCGCCTCGCGGTCACGAGCGGCTCGCTAGCCTGGGTCAGCCGGAGGGGGTCTTCGCAGGATCCTGTAGGATCCCGTGCCCTGGCTGACCCCCGTTTGCATTGACCCCCGTCTCTTGAGCCCAGGCCCCAGACTCTATCGTTAGGCCGGGCACGTCCTCCTGCAGGCGGATGTCGGACGAGAAATGAAAGAATGGTCAGCACTACTCCGAAACAATCAAACATAGCAGAAGGATGCCATATACTCCGAAACAGTACAACTATTTTGGAATTCTCCTCCTGTAGGGGGGCATGCCCGACTTACTTTCATCGAGCCGTGGATCGACGGCGAGCCCGGGGGGAAGCGAGAAGGGGCGGGCCTTCTCAGAAGGCTCGGAAGTCCCCCCGCTTTCTGAAGCAATTCTCATCTAAGCCCTCCCCGAAGGCGCAAAAACCCTCTCAGAAGGCGCGAGAGGGCTTCTGAGAAGTCCGGTCGCCCTCCGAGAAGGCCTTCTCCTTCTCACTTCCCCCTCCTCGCTCGCCGCTGGATGGAAGGTTTTCGCAGGCTCTTCGAAGGCTCGACCAGCTCGTCGCATCTTCGTCCCCTGGGGGGGGCCGTTGGCGGCGCGCGCACGGGGGGTAAGAGGGCGGGGCGCGCGAGGGGATGCCGGCACTCTGCGAAGAGCCCATGAGCTGCAGACGAGGCCTCCCGGAAGCTGGGAGGGCTCCTGAGAAAGCCCATGCCTTCCAAGAACTAGAGGCGCTCACGAGGGGGTACACGCTGGTCGGAAGAAGCAGGTAAGAACATGAACTTGGAAGGCGGATCCAATAGATTGGGTTCAGGCCCCCCCAGAGAATGGCAAACCGTAGCGAAAGCATGCCGATCTTGAAGTAGGAAGGCGCTTGAAGTAGATCGGGATCTGGGAATCCAGAAATCGGGGATCTTCTGACCCGGGTCAATCCAGACCCGGGTCAAGGCAGGCCCGGGTCAGCAGGGAACCAACAACCTGCAATGCAGGAGAGAAAACTGCAACGCAGGTCCTCGCAAACCCGGGTCAGCCAATAGGCGCGGCCGCCTCGCGGCCACGAGCGGCTCCCTAACCCGGGTCAGCCGGAGGGGGTCTCCGCAGGATCCTGTAGGATCCGGTGCCCTGGCTGACCCCCGTTTGCATTGACCCCCGTCTCTTGAGCCCCGGACCCAGACTCTATCGTTAGGCCGGGCACGTCCTCCTGCAGGCGGATGTCGGACGAGAAATGAAAGAATGGTCAGCACTACTCTGAAACAATCAAACATAGCAGAAAGATGCCATATACTCCGAAACAGTACAACTATTTTGGAATTCTCCTAAACAGTACCCCCGTCTCTTGAGCCCCGAAGAAGTACCTACTTTCAACGACCGGCGTGTAAGGGGAGTGGGGCAGGCACCTCCGGAGGAGCCCGCTTCCGGGAGGGCGCGGGCCCCGCGTCTGCAGGCGGGGCCCGCGCCCTCCAGAGAGCCAGGGGGGGGCTTCCAAGAAGCCTTCCCTCGTCCCCCTGATCCCTCCTCCTGCTCCTCCTCCTGCTCCTCCTCCTCCTCCTCCTGCTCCTCCTCCTCCTCTCTACCTCCTCTCATCCTCCCCCCATCCTCCCTATCCTCCCTCTCCTCCTCCTCCCTCCTCCTCCGCCTCCTCCTCCTACTCCTACTCCTCTTCCTCCTCCTCCTCCTCTCCTCCTCCTCCTCTCCCCTCCTCTCCTCTCCTCCTCATCCTCCTCCTCCTCCTCCCTCCTCCTCCTCCTCCTCCTCCTCCTCCTCCCCTTCCTCCTCCTCCTCCTCCTTCTCCTCCTCCTCACGACATCCAAACGTGTGCTCCGCCAGCCCCCGGCTGAAACGTTCAGGATGAGCAGCCTGTCGGGGACAGGGCTTTGTCATCCTGTCTAGAACACCAGAATCAGAAACGAGAGTCCAGGATAAGAAGTTCCTCGACCGGACTTGCATCCTTACCCTTTTTCGTTACTCGTCGTACGCTTTCTTATTCGCCGTTTCGGTATGGGGCGGAAAGGGGGGAGGGGGGGGTCTGGCTCCCGACCACTGCTCAATGTGTTTGTTTGCAACGGTGCGTCCTGAGGGGGAGAATCCACCTGCTCGAAACAGGCGCCAACAAAAACAGCTACGATCTACTCCATGGGCTGGGGGGGGTTGCGAGGGCCCGCTCCGATCGGTAAAACAATGACTCCGCCGGCCCCCTTGTGGGGCCACCAGGCTGTAGGCCGAAGGTTCACAGTTTCCTGTCCCAGTTGCAGCTTCCAGTTTCCACTGTTACAGTTCTGCTTCTTGCTGCTTACTGTTCCTTGTTGATGGACCGCGCGAGGGGGAGGAGGCCCAAACGGGCAGGTTTAGCACGCCCTGAGCGTGTTGTCTGAATTGCTGGGGTGGGTAACAATTACACCCCTCACGCAGATCGGCGGGGTCAGGGTCCAAAAACACAGGGGATTCGCCACATTTCTCAAACAAATCGGTGGCACCTCTCACACAGATCGGCGGCGTCAGGGTCCAACAACACATGGGATTTGCCACATGTCTGAAATTTACTGGCACCACTCACGCAGATCGGCGGGGTCAGCAGGGTCCAAAAACATAAGGGATTTACCACATGTCTCAAATGTGCTGGCACCCCTCACGCGGATCCGTAGGGTCATGGTCCACAAACACTAGGGACTTGCCACATTAAAACAAAAATCGGTGGCACCCCTCACGCAGATCGGCAGGGTCACGACGTCTTACCAATCGCCAGGTGTGGTAACCCTCTGGTCATCTATTGGTTTTGCTCATTACGAGTCGGCCTCGCATGAAGTTCTGATACTGCTTCACGACAGCGCCCAAGCCTCTTAACATAGCTCTTGCATAGCGCATTCTCCGAGAGAGGGGCCGGCGGCAGGGGGCGAAGCCGTTACGGATAAGAAAACGATGACCAGGGACCCCACGCTGCGAACGAACAAGAAACCGCCACAGCGGAGGGGTCTTTGGCAGGTGGGGGCCAAGGGCAGAGGGCACTGCGACAGGGGGCCCCCGAAAACTGGTTTGCAGTGACAACACGTGCGATGACACGCGCACTTCGATGATGCTCAGAGCGTGTGTTAGCGCCAACGTGTGCTTGCCCATCGAGACTCGGAAGAGGAAAAGGTACTCATACCGCTACCCTTCGGCTGTTTTCCACTTTTTGAGCCTCCTGGGAGGCCCGCGTCGCCACCTCTGGATTCGCCTCGAAACCCTTATCAGAACGCACCCTCGGAGAGGTCCATGGAGTACCGGGATCGGTACAACTCGATTTCCCCGCAGACCCTTCACCGCGACGCAGGCGAGGTAATGATCTATCGGTAGAGCTGAACGGAGTAAACGCACATTGGGCTAACGATGGGCCCGTTTCCCACCACCACCATAAGTTGGAGAGGGAGGTGGTCCTCCTCCTCTTCGTCCTCCTCCACCTCCTCCTCCTCTTCGTCTTCCTCCTCCGCGCCCTCCTCCTCCCTCCCCCCTCCAACTTGTGGTGGTGATCATGGAAAACAGGCCCATCAGCCGACACGCGTCCTGGGACTCGTCGGGCACTGTCCGCGGCCCTCGCCGCATGGTCCGCAACCCGCACGGTCCCGGGGCCCTGGCGGCCGCCCTCGCCCGAGACACACGCCCGCGGAGCACGACCCCAAAAACGGTCCCCAAACCGCGCGGTCGCCCCGCTGACTCACCACGCGGCTTGGTCACCGCACCCCCAAACGCGTCAGCAGGACAGGCTGGGCGCGTCGTCGGACTTCCCCTCAATCTATGAACCCTGAAGCTTGAAATTGGCAACAGCTTCAAGGAAAGGAAGCGGGACACCCTTCAAAATGTAACCCTCGCCTTAGCGCCGCACACATTCGCCTTGAACGCTGGAGGTGCGGGCCCCTCACGACGGGCACCGTTGGACGGCTGCGGACTTTCTGGCGTCGGCGTCGGCCTTCGACCCCGTCCGGGCTCAACGGCCCCCGGCGACCTCCCGAAGAGATCGGAATTAGCGCGGCGAGGAACCCAACAATATGTAATGTCCGTGCCGCAGACATAAGAATCGTCTTCGGTGGAATTCCCGATGGGTCAACCAAATGTGTGCGGGGCATGCCGATTTGGCGAGGAGGGGGGGGCGCATGTGAACCATCCCACTGGGACCTTCGACGGAGCTCCATATAGGGCCACGAAAAGCGAGTGAATGTGCCAAAACGGGCGTGACGCCCCCATGCGAACTGCGCCAATGGAACCTTCGATAGGGCTCCCTATGAGGCGACGGAACTTGAGGGACGTGCCAACACGGGCGTGACGCCCGCATTCGTACTGCGCCACAATGACCTTCGATAGGGCTGCCTACGGGGCCACGAAGTGTGTGAGGGATGTGCCGAAACGGGGGTAACGCCCACGTGCGAACTGCAGCACTGGGACCTTCAGTGGAGCTCCCTACGCGGCCACGAAACGTGTGAAGGGTGTGCCGAAGCGGGCGTGACGCCCACATGCGAATTGCAGCACTGGGACCTTCGCTGGAGCTCCCCACGGGGCCACGAAGCGTGTGAGGGTTGTGCCGACATGGGTATGGCGGGCGCACGGGAATTGCGCCAATGGGACCTTCGGCGGAGTTCCCTATGGGGGCACGAAACGTTTGAGTGGTGTGCCGAAATGAATGTCGATGATGGTGACGATAACGGCGATGATGATGACGATGATGGTGATGATGACCCGAGGCGGTGATGATGACGGCCATGTAGATGCTGACATGAATATGATGATGATGGGCACGATGATGGTGGTGGTGGCGATGACGATGAGGATGGCGATGGCGATGACGATGGCGATAAAGATGATGATGATGATGATGCGGATGATGACG